CTGTACACTTAGACATGGTTAACATGGTAAATTTTATGTTATGTGTTTTTACCACAGTAAAAAAAAAAATTCTCCTTTGACCTAGCAATCCTAGGTTAAAAATGGCATCTACTTTTGGAAAATTATCTGATCTTAAGGCAAAGCTTTGTGCATGAAACTATTAATTGTAGCATACTTTTTAAAAACAAAAATAGGAAGGCCTACGTTGTTCACAACGAGCAAATGTTGGCGCCCTCGCGCCCGTGGGCTCCGTGCAGCTGTTGAAACCTGCTGCTTGGACAGCGGTCAGGCCAACCGGGGGAGACTGCCCTCCGCAAGTGGGAGCAAGGAGACCCAACATCCAGACATCCAGACAGACGGAGGGGCCGCCAGCCTCTACACTTGATTTTACCCCGTTTTCTTCTTGGAACAAGAGGTGTGGCATTGCAGAAATAATGAAGGTATAAAAGGCTACTCCAGAGAGAAAAAATGCCGGTTGGACGTGGCTTTTGCTTCACAAGGATCTGAAACCAGGTGCCCCCCAGGGAGCTGAACTCAAGCGGCGACCGTGCCGGGACCTCTGCATCCTCCTCAGGGGCCCCTGAACGGAAATGGGCTGACAAGACCGCAGGAGGCTGGGCTCTTGGAGCAGGGATCTGCTCTCCAAAACAGACATAACCTCCCCGTTGGGGGAAGGCGGGGAGCCGTGATGAGGTGGAAAGAGTTCCAGGGCGACCGTGCACTTGCCAGAAAAGGAACCTTCTCCAAAGCAGGGCATTTCATGGACGCCATGCTGTGGGATGACAATAGAAAGACTGACTGATGGTGGGCCCCATTGTCTCCATGAGGAGGGGCTGGGTATTGGAAGGACCAAGGACGCTTGAAGGAAGGGGCGCGCTGCTCTTCTGCTGCTCCTGTGGTCTGGGTTCTTGGTGGGAAAGCACAGAAACCTGCCCTGGGGGTGATTCCGAAAAGACTTCTCTGCTTTGAGATAGTGAGCAGTACAGAAGCGCCGAGAGCCCTGGAGGGCTGGGTTCAGGGCTGCGTGCCTGGACACTCTCCCACGGCCATGCTGCACAGGCCTGGAGAGTTCTCCCGGTGTCCCTCTTTGCGTCGATTGCCGGACGCCACGGCTGGGGGGTCTGGGGAACCCAGGAGGTTCGCAGCCCAGCTGCGAGCGAGGCCGGGAGCAAGGGCTCTGCGTTCGCAGCACCTCTATAGGCCCTGCTTCCTGCCACGAATAAGCTGGGCAATCTGTCATTCACAGGATGGTGACTAATTTGTGAAGTAGCAAGAAAAAGAAAAAATGCTTCCCACTCTGGTCACACTCTCAGCTCCCCCAAGTCACGTTAACTTGACTTTTCACGCTTTGCTTCAAAGTGTGTATCTGCTCCTGTCTAACCTAACGCCACTCTCCCTAAAACCCTGTGCCATCCCTTCCCCAGCGAGGGAGAAACCCAGCCTCGTATCAGCGTCTCACCACCAAGTGCGGGACCCCCAGCCATGCCCATTTCTGCTCGGTGGAAGTGTCTTCAGACAGGGGAAGGGGCTTCGACTACTGGGAATTCAAACAGTGATAGGCGACCCCAAACCAGGCGGGTTACTGGCCTGACACCCACGACTCACTGGGAGTCGCTTTGGCTGCTTCCTAAAGACGGTTTCATAAACCTGTAAACACTGGTGGGTGGGCAGTTGTTCACTGGCCATTCCCATCCTCACTTGTAATTCGTTTCTTCTCTAAGTCTCTTACTGTGTTTTCTGATCTTTGTGGCAAAAAAGGAAAGTATTATACCATTAAGAAGATGCTACTTGAAAAAACATGTTTGGAGAGGTGGAGGAGCCAGGGTTTCCTGAGTGGCTACGTGCCTGACTGACTGGATGAATGGACGGATGGACGGATGCAGGTCCCACTAGGCTCCCTTGGGTCCAGGACAGGGTGGCACTCACCTTGTGCTGACAATAAACAAAAGCAGGGACTGTGCCTCAGCCATCGGGCTAGCGCAGGGTGGACACTCGGAAAATGGCCTGTCAGTGGATTCTTACCAGCAGACTGGTGTCGTTTCCACCTCCATCTCTCCACTGGCAGGCAGTGAGCATTAACTGACAAATTAGTGAATTGTTTCGCGTGGGTGGGTGTGGGGTACAGAGGTTTTAAGAAATAATAATCAGTTTCTCTGAGACCAGGGTCATTTCACAAGCATTTTATTAATCAGAGGGCCATCAGCCGGCTCCGCCCAGGGAAACGACTGCCAACAAGAGCTTTCTGGACGCCAGGGGCCCACCCGGCCCCTGCAGGCACCTGGGGCTGCGGGGCCTCACTTGGCGCCCCCCTGCTGGAAGTACTTGTGGCAGGTAGACGTGAGCGCGGCCACAAACACGATGAACTCGCTGAAGTCCACCTCGGCGTCTCCGTTGGCGTCCAGGTCCTTGAGCAGTTTGTCCACGGCACCCTTGTTCCTTCCGGTCTAGGAGAAACAGAGGCGCAGGGTCAGCGACTGGGGTGCCTGCATGGGGCCTTGGCCCAGCCAGGAGAGGGAGGGAGCCGAGTGGTTGCCGCCCTTGCCTCCCGCGCCCGCACAGGCGGCGGCCCTGGAAAGAGGCTCGGGCTCCAAGCAGTTGGGAGCCGCCCTAATGCGTGTGACGGGACACCAACGAACTGAGGGCCCGTCTAGGCCGCCTCTGAACTGCAGGATGCTGTGCGGGAGCGGGTGCTGGTTTTACGTGTAAGTTTCGAAGGGGATTGTCTTTGGATCATCGTATCATTGCTTTAAAGTGACGATGATTCCCGGAAACGCACGCACTCGCTGCTCTGTACCGGGTGCGCTGCTGGCTCCAAAGCTCTTCGCGTTACGTTTGTGGAACGCCGGTCTCATGTCTCATGCTGCCCCGGGCCAGCTGCTTTACACACACCTGCAGGCCTCGCGCCCACCAGGCCAGGAGATGCACCGCCCTGGGTGCGGATGGAGGAAATAAGGCCCAGAGGGCCCGAGAGACGGGCCTGAGACACCTGGGAGAAGGGGACCCGTAGGGGAGACCAGGCCTGGAGGGACAGAGTCCCCACTCTCCCCTCTGCTCGGGCACCCGCCTCGGGACCCCGGGGCCCCAGGTCTTCTTTGAGAGGGCCGGTGGGGGTCTCTGAGAGCCTGAGCCCACTGTGTGTCAGACGAGAGCACCGTCCTCAGAAGGGACCAAGTGCCACCACCGTGCAGATCCGAGAAGCAGCAGCAGGGGCGCCGGCGGCGCAGCCGGGGAACCGACATTCAGTGGTAAACGAGCAGCAGTGTGTCCCGCGGCAGAACACCTTGCAGCTGCCGAAAGTGAGCTTGGGGAGGCTTGTAGCCCGCCCGCTGGCCAGCGTTTAGGAATCTCTGAGTGTGCCTGGCTTAGCCATGGGTTCTCCAAGTGTGTTCCGAGGACCCCCTGCATGAGGGGGAGTGTTCAATGAGCAACGAAGTTTCAGAATGTCTGCTGTAATAGTAAGTTCACAGAGAAACTAAATTGCATGTCAGCTCGCCCTTCATTCACATCCGCCTTGCCCTGGGGAGAAGGCTCAGCGGCAGAGGGAGGGGGGAGTCTGTGTTGGGGGGTTTCTTCCCTCCACGTTTCTGTATTTTTACATTTTCTACTGCAAACATATATTTATAATAGAGAACAAATGAACTTTATTTTTAAAAATATATCTTCATTGCATTCATATCTAGAAAAAGATAAATATACTGAAGTGCTCAGTATCCGTGAAGTGATACTTCGGGCTGAAAATGTCAGGCTTCCATACTCAAGGATCAGTACCAGCCCCGACCCCTTAGGGACAGGCAGGCAGGCAGGCAAGCAGGCAGGCAGAGTTTGGTGGGGCCAGGGGGGGCGGGGGCGGGGTGAGAGGAGGGGAGAAGAAGGGGCGGCTGGAGGGTGAAGAGGAGAGAAGAGGAGGAGGGAAGTGAGGAAAGGGAAGTGAGGAAGGTGGGGGAGGTGGAGGAGGGCAGGCCTCTGCTTACAGGTCCCTGGGGAGACTCCGTTGTGAGCCTCCAGGCCCAACAGCTCTAGGCAGACAGATGCCAGGACGGGACCTCCTCCCATCCCTATTCTGGTCAGTCCCACTAAGGCCAGGTAACGCGGGACGACCTGGGGATCAGGGGAAGGAAGGGGGCAAGCAGGAAGTGGAGCCTGGATGTTTGTGGCCTGGAGCCTTAGAGAGGGACAGTTCCCAGGGACCAGCAAACCTGGCCTCAGAGACGGCCCTGGATTGGGTCCCTGTGCCCCATCCCCCGCTGCTCAGGTTCTAACCCCACTCTCCCCGTGGGCCCCCGCAGAGAATCTGGGTCACAGGGAAATTGGGGCTCCAGCTCCATGCTTCAAGGTTGACCTGGCCACATCCTTTCCCTGCTCAGAGGCCCCAGGGTCCCCAGCCCCTGGGGCTGCAGATCCACTCCTAGCCTCAGCCCGCCTGCTCTACCCCTGAGGCCACTCTTCAGAGCATCTGGGTGTTGACCCTTTCCGTCCCTTCTGCCTTCCACACCCTCCTTTTTTCTCCCCCCATGCTCCCTGACCCTCTGCATGTTCCCCCATCAAGCCCACCCTATCCCCCATCCCGTTCCCCAGGGCCCTGTGCCCGTGGGCCCTCACCTGCAGGAAGCCCGGGAGCTCCTTCTCCATGAGCGTCTTCAGCTCCCCCTTGGTCAGGCTCTGCTTGCTGCCCTCGGCACCCGAGTACCGGGCAAAGACGTCGATGATCATGCTCATGGCTGTCTCCAGTTCCGTCATGGTGCTGGATTTGGACCCACCTTCCTGCTGGGGGCTGGTGTGGACCCACCTTCCTGCTGGGGGCTGGCGTGGCCGAGGAAATGTCCCATGGGAGGCGTTTTGGCCTTTATAAGGCCCAGCCTCATATTGACACAGAGGGTGGGACAAACACAGCTGGACTGTTCGAGAAACCCCACCCCTCCCCAGTCTGTGTTGCCCAGTTCCGATGAAAGGCATTGTTGCAACTTCCTGGAACCTTCCCCCAGCCAGGCTGGGGTACAGGATACTTGGGTGAACCCACGCTCTACTGTGCTTCCCCATGTCTTGGGGTCATCACTGAATTACAATGGTGTCCCCCATTGTGGCGGACAAGTCGGGTCTCTGGGGTAAGTGGGTGCCTGGTGAGTGTTTGTTGAGTGAGTAATGAATGAGTGGACCTGTCCCCTCCCGTCATCTGGCCCTTGTTCGTGTGGATATCAGATGGGCCTCTGGCACTCAGTGGGTGGACGTGAGAAAATGCCATTTGAGTGAATGAGTGTTGGAATGAGCAGCTGAGCTAGTGTCGTTCAGCACCCAGCTTATACCTCTGCCCGGGCCCGGCTCCCCAGCCCCGCCGCAGTTACGGGCGTTAGACAACGCCAAGGCTCCTCTGGGGGGCCGCGTGTGTCAGGATCGCTCTGAGCCTGGGGTCTAAGTCAAGTTCGTACCCCTTTCCCTCTCTCCTCTCCCCCAAGTGGTGGGCATGTGGAGGTGGAGTGTTTGTCGCTGGGAGGGCCTGCAGGGCCCTGGCTGCCCAGTGTGGATGCCGAGGGAGAGCCAGGCCTGAACCCTGAGGTCAGGGTGGGCGGAGATGAAATCAAGCCACGTACATAGGGCGCTCAGCACCAGCCCGGCACAGAACAGGGGCAGCCGCTCTTACAAGAGCCAACTGTCCTTTGGACATATTGCCTTTCTCCAGGTTTCCTGCAGGGGAGGCTCAGTGTGGCCCCGCTGGTGGCCATTTGGGGGAAAAGGTCAGCTCCACTTGCTTGGGTGCTGGGCAGTTTCATTTTAGGATAAGATTACATGATTCACGTCCCCACGGAGCCCCCCAAGGGACTCCATTAATAGGGACCTCATCAGCACAACAAAAGGAGAGCTCACCTTGGCAGGCTGAAGTGCTGCTGAGGTGTCAGGCACTTGAAGCCTTCACAGCTGTGGGAGGAGGACCTCGACATCAGGTGGGAGCCGCTCCCCAGCCCCTGAAGTCTCCCACCAGGCCAGGGCTGCCCCTGCTGGAGTGTCTCACTCGCAAGCCCTACAAGAATGGGTGCCGGCCCCTTGGGTCCTCCTCGGGGGCTGGGGCCTCATTGCCGAGAAAGGGTTCTAGACGATTTGTTGTGTCAGAGCCCCCATTAGAGAAAAAATATTCTGACACTTGTTAAAACGAAAGGAAGACAATTCAGGACTGTTGCAGCAGGAGTCATGACCTTCGAAATAGGGGCGGGAGACGAGGCTCAGCTACGAATATGACAGGGACAGCCGGGCATTTATAGCCAAGGAGCAGAGTGAGGGAGTCAGCGGATGGGGAATTACTAAGAGGAGACCTCAAGGGTTGGGGGACTCTTGCTAAAGGCAGGCCCAGGACTTACACATCAAATGCGGAGGATGAGCAACCTGGTCAGCTACGGGGGGAGGGGGGGGGGGAGGCGGGCAGTGGGGAGGTGACTTAGCAATTCTCACTTCCTTCTCCCTTGGCTGGGTTAGGCAGGCTGCAGACGGCCCAGGGCTGGAGGATGAGGCTGAATCGTAAAGAGGGCTGGGGGAGCCTGACTGCGGTTTGGTCAAGGGCAGTCTGTCAGACCCGGAGGACAGCTTCCGGGCCCTCTGGGTGAAGACCGGGACAGAGAAGGGCAGGCCTGGGGCTGCCTTCATCGTAGCAGCTGCTTCGCCTGGGCCTGGCGGGGTGGCTGGCGCGTGCGCAGGGGAGGTGCTGCTGAGAGGGCCTCTGGACGCCCGGGGCGGCCCAGGGGACGGGCAACGCCTGCAGGGACCTGACTCACGGCAGGCATGCTCACAACCTACTCCCACCTCTTTGCTAAAAAAAGGATGCATTTTTCCAGAAAGTTTTCCTATGAATGTGTGTTTTCTCCAAAGTTTTGTTTTCAGACTTGTTGCAAAAGTCAAAGCAGGCCCTTTCAAAGACCTCGTTAGGTGGACATCTTTGTAGGGATTAAAAAAAAAGGTGCCCTTTTCACCATTGTTAGCGTGACAACTGGAAACCAAGGCCGGCTGAAGATCACTAAGCGCCTGGCCTGCATCATCAGACAGCCTCTCTGTGGGCAGACAGCGATTTCCTAGACCAGGCCTTAACTCTTTTAGAAATTTAGCAAAAAGTCCACTTATCTGGAAAGCTATTTTCTTCCCAGAAGGAGATTATGAATTGCATGATGCAAAAAACGCTCTTTTCTGTCCCTGACCAGGTTGGGGTCATTTTTCTTCCCACCCTCAGACCTGGGCACCCCAGGGTCGCTGGGGCTAGGGACCCCTTTATAGCAGGGGGATTCTGGGGCTCCCAGGGTGATTGTCCAGCAGTCAGTGTTACCACACAGGGCAGAGGGCTGCGGTCAGGAGGGACAGAGGACATGGAGGCCTCGGTTCCCATCCAGGGCTGTGCATCTTAGGAGGGCCTCCGGCCTTTCCCTGCAAGCTCCTGCTCCGTCATCCACAGACATCTGGGTGTGGGCCCCCCTTACATCAGAGGGAAGGTGAAGAACTCTAAGGACAAGTGTCCTGTGCATTAAACAGGTAAAGAGAAAAGGCAAAGAGGCCCGGGAATCACCCCCCAGGAGGCCCTGCCCACTGGACAAAAGGCCACCGCCCCACCAGAAGCCCACGCGCTGCTCTACTTCGGCCAAGGGGGATGGGGGGAAATGTCTCTTGGGGGTCCAGGCCTGCAGGGGGTTGGGAGGTTTCTGGAGAGGCACAGTGTGCGGTGGGGCAGGCAGGGCGTGGCCTGCCCTGGGAACAGCTCTCTCCTCTCCAGTCTGCGTGGGAGGAGGCGTTCTGAGAAGGTCTGTGCTCAGCAAGCACAGAGAAGGCCCCTCGTGTGTGGCCCCCGGCCACAGAGAGCCCAACAAGCACAGGCCCCAAACCACAGTGTGCTACAAGTTCCTGTGAGTCACCCAGGCCCCTGCGCTGGGCTGGGGGGTGCACCATGGGAGAGACTTGAGCCCTGACCTCTGGGGGCCAGCCAGAGACGGGCGGCAAGGGGAGGTGACAGGGAGGGGAGAGGCAGAGTGGCAAGGAGACCCCGGGCCAGAACAGCCCTGAAAGCTGAAGCCGAGTCTGGAGAGGTAGGTGGGCTTGTAGGAGACGGCGCTGCAGGCCAGGGGGCAGCGAGGGGGCAGAGGCAGGAGGACCTGACATCTGGGGAAATGGGAAGTGGGGTGGGCTAGAGAGGGGAGAATGGCGGGGACCAGGAGAGGCCCTGAAGGCTGGCCTCCTGGGGCCTTTCTCCTAGGCCTGGGCCTCGCAGGCCTGGCTGCCCAGCCCAGCCCCTGGGCTCCTCAAATGCCAGCTGTCCGGGCCCACCCACCCAGGGCTGCCAATTCCCTGAGCTGGGCTGGCCCGAAGCTTCCCGGGCGACCCTGCCGTGCAGCCCAGTGGTCCGGAGGGTTTCGGCTGGGAAGAGACATGGTTGGATTCGCCTTCTGAGGTTGACTCGGCAGCTGGTGTGAGACATGGATGAGGACGGTGAGGCTGGAGGCAGCGAGCCAGCAAGGAGACTGCAGGGTAAGGAGCCCTCTGGCCACACGACTTCAGGGCTCCTGCAGCCACCTAAGGACATCTGGGAGTTGGTGGAGGCCTCACCAGGGAGCAGAAAAGAGAAGGAAGAGGAGGAGGCCTCACCATCCGATGTAACCTCCATTCCTTGCAGAAGGGGAAATTGAGGCTCGGAGTAAGGACGTGGGTGAACAAGCCCAGGCTCGCTGACTCCACGCTCGCTGCACAAACAGCTCCGGGATCAAACCGGTTTTGTCCTTGATAATGCCTCAGACAATATTTGATGAGGGAGGAGGTTGAGAGCTGAGGAAATTAGTTTCTCAGGGACCAGCTGGATGTCAGAGGGCAGGTGCCACAGAGCTGTGAGGGCAGGGTTGTCGTCTCACCCCGGGCACACAGCTCTGGGGGATGGGGGCAGTGAGCCCTGGACCCAGCAGTGGCCACTCGCAAACCTCTTTCTCCAGGCTAGAAGGCTTAATGGCTCCATCTCCAGTCTCCCCGGCAGCTAGGGGCGCCCACACACCACAGTTCTGGTCAAATGATGCTTCTTTGGGGCTACGGGAGGCTGGCCTTGCTGAATACAAAGAGGCCGTTAGCCCTTCTGCTTCTTCCTTCCAGAACCCTGGAAACGATGTCCAGAGAAGCAGCGGCTATGTTGCAACCGTGTGGCTGTGGCCGTAATGGATTGTTGCTTGTGACTGAGAGCGTTATTCCAAACTGGTTGTGTGAATTTCCAGGGGCTACAAATTGCCGCAAACTGGGTGGCTGAAAACAAGAGAAATTAGTTCTCTCACAGCTCTGGAAGCTCTAAGTCCGAAATCAGGATGCCAGCAGGGTTGGTTCCTTTTCGGGGACTCAGAGAGAGAACCTGTCGCATGCCTCTCTCCCGGCTTCTAGTGGTGGCCCGAGATCCTTCGAGTTCTTGGCTCGCATCTGCACCGCTCCACGCTCCGCCTCTCTGGCACGCGGCCTTCTTCTCTCTGTGTCTGTCTATTCTTGAGACACCAGCATGTTGTACTAAGGGCCCCTCTAGTCCAGCATGACCTCACGGTAACGTATTGCATTCGCAGTGACCCTGTGTCCAAATAAGGCCACATTCTGAGGTTCTGGGAAGGACATGAGCTTGGGGCACACCATTCAATCCAGCAGGCTGGCGCAGGCCTCGGTTACGCCACGCAGTCGCTTGACAGCTGCAGAGCCACAGCTTACTTCAGTTTGATTCCTGCCTGTCTTTTATTTGCTCTCTGACGTCTTGGATGAGTTCTGTAACCTGGCATCAATTTTCTGTGAAATGGTGGCAATCATCGCCACCCTCAGAGGTGGGAGGAGACTCTAAGGTGCATCAGATGCAGGCTGAGCTGCAGCCGAGCGTGTGACCCCTGGCAGGGTGTCGGCCACCCGCAGCACTCACTTCTGGCCCTCTCCCCTTTTCCTTCCACGTCTCCTAGCTGCCTTCTCTCTACCAGATGCTCTAAGGCAGAGCTGCGTCTGGTCCCCCCAATCTAGACACTGAGAAGCAACAGACAGTGACAGTACAGAGCGGTGAGTGATGTGCCAGAGGCCTGTGGGGGCCCCACAGAGGGGCTAACCCAGCCAGGAAGGTCAGGAAGACTTGTGGGGCAGGCAGTACTTAAGATGAGACTTGATGAGACAAAGGGGCTTATTCAGATGAGTGGTCTTCAGAGTGTAGTCCCCAGGCCAGCAGCATCAGCATCCTCTGAATTAGAAACCCTGGGGCAGGGCCCAGCCGCAGGGCAGGCTGGGAGATGGGGTTGGACAAGGCTTCCAGGTGACTCTGATGCGTGCTCCAGTGTGGAACCACTTGTCCAGACAAAGGGAGGACAGTCTCACGAGTGGGACCAGCCTGTGCAAAGGACCAGAGCTGGGAGAGAGCATGGCGCATCTGCAGACCAGAGCAGAGGCAGGGGCAGAAGCTACAAGGACGCAGCTGAGTTGAAGGCGGTGAGGCTGGCCGGTGGTCAGGAGAGCTGAGTAAGGAATCTGCATTGTACCTGAAGCTGGAGGTCTGCGATTCTGGCCTCGTTGAGCTGAGTCGTGGGTAGAGTGGCTTCGGCGATGGCAGTGAAATCTCAAACGCTGGCAAAGGGCCTTGATGGAGGAAAGGAGCGCGCCCTCTCCGAGAAGATGCAGGTTGGATAGTGGCTTCCCACTCTCTCTGTGGGCCCGGAGCTTCACTGCAGCCCACATGTGGGGGCCTCGCTGCCGGCCTGCTCGAGCCACGCCTTAGGAAACCTTTGCTGAATGTTCTGCGAGTCAAGACTTCCAGGTGAGAGGGTCTCGGAAAACCCATGACAATGTGGGGAGCTCAGAATAAGAGGCCAGGCCGGCTGGAGCGGAGAGCACTCTGCTTTGAGGACCCCTTTCCAAGTGTTCCAACCCAGGCCTGGTTGACTCCAGACTAACGTGTTATCCTCGAAATCTCCTCTCATGGGAAAACTCCTGACACTGGCAGGAAGGCTGCCCCACGATCTGCATTTTAAGCAGCACAGGGGGTCCCAAAAAGTGCCCCAATGGTGGCAGGAACCCGGCCCCTGCCTGTGGTGCAGGGCTGCCTGGTGCAGGGCTTGGGGCAGGGGGCCTGGGGCCTGCCTGGCCTTGGCCCACTGGGCACTGAGCTGCAGAGTGACCCTGGTGAGTCCCTTCCCCCTGTCAGACTACTTTCTCCATCTGTGAAACCAGGGGTTCAGATTAGACCACCGCCAGGACCCTGAAGCCCCAAAACCACATTCTCAAGCTGAGGTGCCCACATTCCTTGGGGTGCACGATGCACGCTGGGTGTACTAGAACACTCAGGATTTGAAAAACATTTCTGTTTAGACTGAGAAACTCACAGGAATTTTCAAGCTAAAACAGGAGCCCTTGTAGTGAACGCCTGTCTGTAGCCCCCATCTCCCGGGCCCATTCAGTCGGTTCCTGGCAAACGGTCCTCGCCAGCCCTGCCAGGTGGCCGGGTGCTCTGCAGGACCAGTGGGAGCTAGTCTCCGTAGTCCCCTCCCCTGTGGGTCTTGGGTGACCACAGGGGAGGCCAGTGTGAGAACAGAGAGGAAGAGGAGCTGAGAGGTGGAGGGAGGGAGGCTGGGAGCTCGCTGAAGTCAGCAAGTCCTGCATTCGCTGCCTCTCCCCTCACTGCGCCTCCCAGCCTCACTGGGGCCAAGCCCCCTGGGGTGGGGTGGGAGGAGCTGCTGGGCTTGAGTCCGGTTCTGCCATGTACTGCCTGGGGGCCTCCGTGAGCCCAATTTTGTCCTCTGTGAAACAGGATGAAGTATCATGCCAAGGGCTGCGGTGAGGAGGAAGTGTCCCAGGCACAGGCTGCCCGTTGACAACTGTGATGGTTAACGTTACATGTCAACTTGGCTAGGCTATCGGCCCAGGTGTTTGGTCAAACACCAGTCTAGATGCTGCTGTGAAGAGAGGTTTTTATTTTTATTTTTATTTACGTATTTTTTGAGTGAGATCAGCCCTGAACTAACATCAGCTGCCAATCCTCCTCTTTTTTTGCTGAGGGAAGACTGGCCTGAGCTAACATCTGTGCCCATCTTCCTCTCCTTTATATGTGGGATGCCTGCCACAGCACGGCTTGCCAAGTGGTGCCATGTCTGCACCCGGGATCCGAACCCTTGAACCCCGGGCTGCCGAAGCGGAGCATGCGATCTTAACCGCTGCACCATCGGGCTGGCCCCGTGAAGATATTTTTTTTAGATGTGATTAACATTTAAATCAGTGGACTTTGAGTAAAGCAGATGACTCTCCATAGCGTGGGTGGGCCTCATCCAATCAGTTGATAGCCTCAAGAGAACCGACTGAGGCTTCCAGAAGGAGGAAGTCTGCCTCAAGACGGCAACATAGAAACCCTCCTGTTTCCAGCCTTCAGAACTTGGACTCAAGACTGTGACATCAGCTCTTCCCTGGATCTCCAGCCTGCTGGCCTGGCCTGCAGATTTCGGACTTGCCAGCCCTCACCATCATGGGAGCCAATTCCGTAAAGTCTGTGTGTCTGTCTCTCCCTCCCTCTACAGGTTCTGTTTCTCTGGAGAAGCCTGATTAATACAACAGCCAGTGGACTGAATCCAGCCTATAGACTTTATTGGCCAACATAGTGTTAAAAAAAAAACGTTATTAATGTTTAAAATTGGGAGATTTCATCAAAAAGAATGTGGACTCCTAACTTGGAAACGAGACAACGAGACCAGGACTGCGGGCACGCAGAGCTGAGCAGCCCAGCCTCCACCCGCTCCCCCCGCCTGCCCCAGGACATTGTGTTTTCCCAGGATCAGGCCAGCTCCGGGCCCAGTCCACGTAACCTTTGGAGAGACAGATCCTCCCACTGAGTGCTGGCCACATGGAGCATCAGATCTGGTCCCTGCCTGGAGGAGGTGGCATGGCATCCTGTCAGGAGGACCAACACATCAGCCATGTTCAGAATGGGGGCAGAGCGGGAGAGAAGCAAGTGAGGCCTGGGGTGCCCCGAGCACTTGCCGCCCCTCCTGGGGACACCGAGCCAGGGACCGGAGCTTCTGTTCATGGGAGGGCTGCACTGGAGACGCCACCTCGGAGCTGGGGCCACGCTGCGCTCGCTCCTCCTCCTCCCTGGACTCTCCAGGGGTCAGCCCTCCAGCGGGAGACAGAGGGGCTGAGGAAGGAGGCGGGCCGCCGACCCCAGGCCCAGTGTCCTCAGCAGCCCCTGCCCTGTCCTCCTCATGCGAGGAGTGTGCGCAGGGCAGCGCCGGGAGGGGCTGGCACCTCCGCTACTGTCTGCAGCCCTGGTCTCACCCATGGGGCCGGCGCCTGCCTCACAGGCCTCGTGAAGACACAGTGAAAGTCAGTGCCGGGGACTGTGAGCAGGGACGCAGCAGCTCAGCACTTCACTTATTCCCAGGAGTGCAGCAGCCACTCCGCCACAGCCACAACCGGTACCCTCTCCCTCCCTCCCTCCTTCAAGGACTCCCTCGCCAAAGGGGCTGAGTGTTTTCAAGACTGCTAATGTTTACCTTTAATCTTCACTTCACTTTTTAATTATTTCATTTAAAAATATTTATATTATTTTAGTATTATTTTATTAGTTTTTTAAATATAGGGAAGTGTAAAAAACAAAACAAAAAATGGACCCTGACCTTCCCACTCAATTGTTAATTGTGACATTAACCATTAGATAAAGTGGCTCCTGAGTAGGTTTAGAAAATTCCAGCAAGACTAGAAGGCACATGATGAGACTGACAACCACTGCCCGACCCAGCCCCTACTCCAAGGGAACCACCTATGGCTGCTTGCGATTCCTTCCAGAAGAATGTGCACGTGGGCCCCAGCTTCTAGGAATCGGCATACGTATGTGCAGCATCTCCTTCCTTGTCAGGTCCGCGAGAGCCATCGCCATCACCCCTCTCTGCAGCCTGCTTTTCCACCTAACCCCTCCCGACACGCTCCCCTTCACTACAAGGCCACCTCGTCCTTCTTCTCGGTCCCTTTGGCAAGAACACCTCTCTGAGCAGCCTCCTTAGCTTCTCCAGCCTCCCTGGAGAGCCTCCTTCTCCACTGGCGCTCGTGCCACAGTACTGCCCCACCCGTGGCCTGGGAGCTCTGCAAAGGCTGGGGGTGAGGGGTGCAGCCCTCCTCTGAGTGCCAGAGCCCAACCCAGGGCAGGGCCCCCTTTCCTGGAGCTGTGGGTGGTGTCAGGGCAGGGCTGGAGACTGACATCAGAAGCCAAGGCTGAAGGGATCAGGGTCAAGGTGAGGGCCAGGTTGAGCCACAGGGCCAGCATCCTGTCAAATTCTGCTGCCCTTGCCAGGCTTGCAGAGCTCTCTGCAACTAGCTGAGGCGAGCTGGCTAGTGTTTCCGCGATTAAAAGTGGTTCCCCAGGTACTTGGCTGTAAAGATTTAAAACCAACAAACTACTTCCTTGTCCCACCACTTCCCATCCTCCACCCTTGTGCTCCAGCTGCAAATGTCTTGGCCTTCTTCCATATTTGACATCGTTTCATTGTCTTCCAGCTTAAGGAGGATGTTTGCTGTAGATTTTAAGTGGATGCCTTTATCCTCCTACTGTAAGCACACGTTTTTAATGGGTGTTGCACCGGAATGCATGAAATGCTGCCTCTGCGTCTTGTAAGACCTTCGTGTGTTTTTTCCTCCCTAATCTGCCACGAGGTGAACTGCAGTAATGGGCTGTTTACCGTGTGGCTCCTTACAAAAAACGCCTGCTGACCCCGGCCTAGGGCGAAGTTCCCTCCAACTGAGCAGATCTCCCAGCCGTTCTGGAAATCAGGCAGGGCTGAGCATCCCCACGTTAGGGATGGGCAAAGTGAGATTCAGGAACGTCTGGTGCCTCTCCCAGGGCCACACAGATGCAGAAGCCACGACTGGAACCAGACTCCTCTCCTCCAACCCCTCAGGGCCAGAGCCAGAGCCTCCAGGAGAATGTGTGTAAGTGCGTCTGGGATGACGGCCAGGAACGTGTCCTTTTAGCGAGCTCTTCCCCTCTTCCAGTAACAAAAGAAACGTTTTAATAATGCAGTAATTAGACATCTTGGGGGGGCCTGACTGGAGCGTCCTAAGCAGATTACTGAAAATGCTGGGGAAACTCCCCTGACTGGTCGCTGAGGAGAACGCTGGCTCCTCGTCCTGGTGAAGTGGGACACGGGGGCCACAGTCCTCTGAACCAACCTTCGCGGAACTTAAGCAGCACATAGAATGGTTCTTCCAGAACACCAGTGCACCAGGCATCTCTCTCCAAGACGGGGCACTGAGAAGGCTCCGGAAGTCCTCACCACCAGTCTGTGCTCCCTGGGAAGCGCCTTGAGAGGCAGGCCGCCTGGGTTCAGAGCACACGGGGCAAGCACGTGGCTATCACCAGGGGCTGCCCTTCTGTGGGAGGATGGGAAGGGACAGACTCGTGGATGTGGACTCTACACAGACAAGCTCTGCAGCGAACACGGGACTCTGGGAGCTCGGCTAACAGTGCGACCTCCCTGCCGTTACGTGCTGGACCTGCCCACATACTTCCCCGCCAGCACGCCTGCTGGGCATCGCTGGGGCCATTACAGCCTGAGACCGCTGAATGGGGTGAGGCTCTGAACTGTCGGCAGAGGGCTGCTCAGGGGCTGGCGGTGGCTCTGAGGGGGCACCAGCACTGCTGGGGAGCTCAGGAGAGTGGCTGTTTGAGCACAAATCTGCAGCGCTGCCTTCTTGTGTGAGCATTCTAGGCCACCGCCCCAGGAGACCTGGGGGGAAAGGGCCTGTGGATCTTGGTTTTTAAACCCATTATTATCCAACACAGAATCTGAGAATAAAGGAGATTGCTCCAGGAGGGAGAGGGACCCAGGGGCCATGGAAGGGTCAGTGGGATAGGACAGGGTCCACCCTGGGGTGCACTGAATGAGGGACACCAGGCGTGCCTAAGCTGGGCTGGAGGTAACTAGCACTTGGAGTTCAGGACTCCTGGGGGGAAGCAGGGAGGGTGCTGGGTGTTGGGGAAGAGGCATTTGGACTGTGGCTGGAATATTCCCAAAGGAAATGTTCTAGAAATGGGGTGTCAGCAGATGCGCCTCTGGCTGTTGGCTTCAGAGCAAACCGGGGGAAGCTTACGTTAACTGACAGCCAGAGGCGGCTGGAACACTCGAGCTCTGAGGGGGCGAAGAGGGAGGCGGGAACCTGGCATGGAGAGCCTGGGGGGCAAACTGCCGTCCAGGGCTGTGCCCGGCCTGCAGCATCCATGTGTCATGCCACACCAGGTTGGTCCCATCAGTGGGTACCTATCTCCATATCACACATCATCAAACAGAGGAAGAAACTCCCTCCGGCCACCTCTCCAGGCACCTCCTTTCTGTGCTCTACTTCACAGCAGTATTCCTTCAAAGAATGCTGCAGGTTTTCTCTCCATTTTTACCACCTTTCAGGTACAGTGGAGCGTCCCAGTCAAAGGAATCAACATGGGCAAAGGCCCTGAGGCCCTCATGTGCTTGTCACGGTCAGGGAACAGCAAGGCAGCCTTTGTGGCCAGAAGCAGCGAAGGAGCCCTGAGGAAACCAGGCTGGGAGGCTGCAGAGGTCTGCTCACTCCGCACTTCGCAGTCTGCAGCCCACACTCTGGAGTTTGTTCCGAGGGCCAGAAGAGGGAGTGACAGCTGAATTCTTAATAGATGCCAGGAAGGTACTGAATAGTATCTTACAGGCACCGAGAGAACATTTGCCAACCTAAAATTATAGACCCTCACAACTGTCTTCCAAGGGAAAGGGCAAAGTAAAGCCAGGGATGTTCACCATCATCGCTCCCCACAGGTCACCCTGGGACACGGGTCCGGGGGGCCCAACGACCTCTGAGGGAGGAAGACACGCAAGGGAGAGCCGCGAGCAGAGATCGACAAATGTGTGGGTAAATAGAAACAAAAATGGATTAAATAAAACAATACTTGTTTCCAAGGTGTCAGCTCAAAAAAAACCTATAGCATATCAGAAGTTCTTAGATCCTTACGTGTTCTGGGAGGAGGGTAAAGATATTGATAAACTTTAAATTTTTCCTAATTATGCCTGTTAAAATTTTGAGAATAATAAAGGAATAGAAAAAGAATACACAACTTCTAAACTAGTACAGGGGGAGAAATTAAAAACTCTTAGTTCATAATAAGGCAAGAAAGGAAGAAAAAAAAGGAAATGGAAAAAGTGGGATAGGTCAAAATAAGATGGCAAAAATAAATCCAAATATATTATTAATTATAATAAATGTATAAGGATTAAATTCTCATGTCAAAAGACAGACTGTGGACCTGGATAAAGAAGAAAAAAAATCCCCAAATCCAGCTGTATGTAGTTTACAAGGAACATACTTAAAACATAAGGGCTCAGAAAAATTGAAAATAAAATGGTAAATGATTACAGGGCAAATACTAACCAAAAGAAAGCCGAGGTAGCTTACATTGGAGCGGACAAAAAGTAGTACTAGAAACAGCTGCCTACATAATGACAAGTTTTAATTCAACAGGAAGAGAGTACGTTTCTAAACTTGCATGCACTTAATCACGTAGCTTCAAACTGTCTCAATCCAGAATCGAGTTCAACAAGCCTCTCTCTGGGCGACTGACACTTGAGCACACGAGAGGATTGCATTGTCAGCCAGGGGTGACTTCAGGGGCCACCTCAAGGAACCCCTCATTCATTCTTTTCTGATTCTCAGTACTTCTGCAACCATGACTGTGGGAGTTAAGCCAAGTGGGTGAAATGTGTGTGACTTGCCGGACAGTGAACAAATGACAAGACTGACTCTTTGCAAAACCCAAGTTCAGAACGCCTTTGATCCCCAAGAATTCCGTTGTGGGTGTTACCACACGACCATGGGGACAAAGATCAAAGATGAATTTCATTTGTTCAGTAGCCTCTTTCTAGTTGTAGAGAATGTCTCAGGGCCTCTCTCTGAAACCCAGGCATCTTCTGCTGCCTAATGAGACTCTTAGTCCAAACACAGGACCGAACTGGAAGTCCCAGTGTAGCTGGACCATAACATTAAATTCCGAAAGACTATGAGAGGGCCTGGGACACCTGTCCTCACAGCTCTGCCTCAAGGGGCAGGGCTGAAATTGTCCAAGAGGTGGCTGGTTACTTTTTATGAATCTGAGACAAATGGAATGTCAAAGCCTCAAGGAAGCTCAAAGACAAGAGAGTGCAAAACCGTCCTCTTATGGTGGCCCAGAAAGAGACAGTCACTTGCTTAAGGGCACAGAGTGAGCAAGCGACAGAGCCAGGAGTGGAACGGGCCCTCCTGAGCGCAGCCCATGCCTTCCGTGCCATCCACTGTCTGTTCTAACTTCAGCACAGTCAGGAGCTCTTTCTCCCTGGCGTCTTCCCCTCCTCTGGGCTCAGACAGCAGATGTTGCACTTTGGATCCCAAGGCGCATATTTCATGCACTTGGCTGTCACTAGTTTACCATCATAGTGCCCAAGATCCAAAATGCCTTCATCCAAGGGGTTAGCTTAGCTGAGGAAACGTCCAGATGGAGAGACCTCAGTTCTATACTGACACAGGACGGCTACCAGTCGGAACGGAAACTTGCACAGACCCTCTCCTCCCCGTTGCCCGTGTCTCCATATAGCTTCAGTCATCTAACACATGGTCTGCGATCCCTCTGGGCAGCCTTCCCCGTTCCCTGGCTGGGTTAAATACCACCTCCATGCCCCCAGCCCCTGTACTTCCTCAGTCTCAGCACCTCTCACTCAGTGTGTGGGGCCTGTTAAGCTGGCCACCTCACCCACTAGGATGCAAGCCCTTTGAAGGCAGTGACCGTGGAAGAGTTGTGGCTACAATGTCTAGTCCAGGGTCTAGCACAGATTAACCCTTCAATATATACTCAAATGTGTGAATGAATGGGTCAGTGACTGTCACAAGGAAGCCAGCTGCTCTTTTGTGTCCCAAGGACTTAGTACATCACCAGCAAAATATGTGTTGAATGAATAAGTGAACAAACACATACGCGAATCCATTCTATGAAATCGGCTGGACAGTGCTTGCTGGAGACTTAGAAGACATCTGGAATGTGGGATGCCTGCACTTGGGCTCCCTAATCCCACCCAGCCTGGCGGGACTCCTCACACTTCTCCTCGGGCTAGAGATGGTCTGTCATGGCCGATGCTTCCTGGAACATCCTAGAGGCCAGAAACTCAATCCTGTGCTTGCTGCTGCATCCCTCTCTAGAGGGCTCAGCACTGTGGACTGTTATTTAGAAAACTGCCAAGGACTTGGCTGCTGAGAGAAGAGGCAGATGGCACAGCAGGCGCTGGCTGAAGTTGTGGGAAGAGCCCTGGCACCACTCAGTCCAATGCTCCTGGGCAAGTTTCTGAGCGTTTTTTCAGCCGATTTCCTCACCTGAACAATGAGGATAAAATGACCTCTGAAATTTGGGAAAATTAGATAAGGTACATTAAGTTTCTAACCCCGAGTAGGTTCTTGTAATTCAGATGTTTGTTTTCTCATTTTCACACACCCAATGTCCTGCTGTTGGCCAGGAGCTATAGGAACTCAGCTGTGGGGCAACAGCAGAAACGGGATCAACGCATTCCAGGTTTGCTCTTGGCCCCTTGCGTGACCTTATAATTTGACCTACTCCATCCCACTCGTATCCTAGAGTGACCTTCCTCTTAGGAGTGTGCCGAAAGCAAAGGTAACTATCCCAATGATAATTATTTTAAAAAGGAAATGTATTTCTTTGAACTAAAATCACGTTCACCTTAACAGACACACCATACTCAAAGAAAGGGATTCCCAAAGAATTTCCCTATCTCCACTCCTTGCCCTGCTTCATCTGACGCTGCTGCAGTCACCCTTGGTCTGGCCTCTGGGTACAGCCAAGAAAGGGACCTCAGAGGCTGCCACTCCTAGACAGGGGATGTGCAGACCCTCAGTCCTCAACCCTGGCAACCCCAGCCCTGTTAGGCTGCGTTTACAATGGTCCTGCGGATTATGTGCTGGTTAAGCTATGGCACAAGGTACAATCGCCCTTCTAATAAGCAAGGACTATAGACCTGAAGGGGAGCGTGGGGGTCGGATCTGAAATTGGTGGCTGCAATTCCAACACTGACAGATGTCACGAGCAAGCAAAGGAAGCTGAGGCAGGGAGGGGAGTCGGGTCCTCGTGTCCCTTCTGTAGTTTCACCGGTGATACTGCCAACCCCACTTCACACCCTTGCCCGGACCATCTTCCACAATGACACATGCATTTCCTAAACCACAAATATGAAAGTGTAGCTGCTCAAACCGTTCCATGGCTCCCCAATACTCTGCTTCCCAAAAGTTTTCAGCAAACCACCCTTAACCTCAGAGGGCCCTGCTGCTCAGAGTGTGGTACCCGGACCAGCAACACAGGCATCACTCGGGAGCTTGTTAGAAATGCAGGTCAGGTCCTTAACTACAGGATCGAAACCTGCATTTTAATGAGACCCCAGGGGTTCACAGGCACTTGTAAGTTTGAACAGCACTGCTCCAGGGCTCAGGACAGCCAGAAGCAGCCTCAAGTGGGAGACTTCTTCAGCCAGTGGTATGTCATTTTAAAAATTAAAAAACATTTTTCCTGTCAAGCATCCAAAAAGCTGACTATTCAGCATGCACCAACATATCCCTTGGCATCAGGTACTCTACAGCACGTCTAGATACAGCTCGGAGCACAGAGACCCCAGCTGGAGGAGCACAAACGCACAGGATCAAGTCTACACTCCTCAATGTCATGCCAAGATCTCCACAACCACACCTCCTACCTCCCTCATTACCTCCTTGTCCCTTCCAACACCCACAAACCGTCTCCACCGCGCCACATTTCTACCTGCTGACAGACTCCGGGGTCAGTTCCGGACTGTTCCCTGTGCCTGGAGTGCTGTTCAGGAAGCTGTGCTCACGCGTCCAGGTCCACACAAGTCGCTAGGTCTGAAAGGCTCTGTCAGACCCCCTGCCGCTCAGGCGACTCCCACGAGTGTAAGCACAGAGTACGCGCATCTCTCTGCCTGTGGCAGTCCTGGTTTACACTTGTGGCCCCAGACTAATCACCAGGGCCACCTTTCACTTTCACAACTGCCCTGGTTTGTTTGACAAATGATGTGGCTACACTAAACAGGTGCTTGGGTCACGAGCCTCAGAACCACGGTTGAGTCCTTGCACATCCTCATCCCGCCAGCACCTAACGCAGGCCACACTCACCAGCACCTAGTGACCACTTTGCCCCAAGTGCCCCCAGCTGTCTGCGGGTTGCACCCCTATTCTCATCCTTGCTCTGCCCCCAAGTGTCAATTTTAAACATAGCAGCCCCTCAGCCTCTTCCTATGTGGTCAGATCCTGTCACTCCTCTGCTTACACCCTCAAGCTGCTTTCCATGTCATTTGGAGGCAGAGCGATTGTTCCTCCTTCTGACCTCACTGTCTACCACGTGGGCCTCATGCTGCTCCTCACTTCTTTATCCTGTTTCTTCCACCTCCTGTAATATTCCTTCCTTAGATATGCTTGTGTATATTTCACACATCCATCTTTGCTCAAATGTCACTATACCAGAGATACCACCTGACCATCCTCTATAGAACGGCAACGCCTCCCCCCAACACCCTATCTTCCAACACCTCCGTTTTTCCTATGGAACTTACCACTATCTGATATATATAATTCTCTTTTCTGCCTTCCTGCAGCCAGGCACTCTGAAGCTTCTTACAAACATCAGATCCGCGTGTCCCAGCACTTTGTCCCCTGATGTGCCCAAGCATCTGAAGGCACTCCATTCATGCGTCAAATCAAAGACCAGCACTAGGGGCACCAGACTGTAACTCTGCATTTACAGGTGTGTCTCAACCCACTAGATGGCCTCTCCTGGAAATTCCTAACATCCAGCAGAGTCTGGAGTAGCATGTGCTCCCAGGGAACGCTGAGTGACTGAATGAACTTTAGCTCCCTGCAGGCAGGGGCAAGACCAGACGCTTTCCTGAGGCACCCTCCTGCCTCCTCCTTGCTCTTTTTACAGGCACTGCAGATCAGACTTCCCTCTGGGCTACAGCTTTTGAACTCGTTCCTAAATCATAAGTATCTAACTTCCAAGTGACAATGATGACAATCAAGGAGAAATTTTTATTCTGAAAAAAGTTTATTTATCTCACCTTTTCCTGGCCAAATCAATGGCTTCGATCATTTGCACATTTTAAAAACTGGCTTTCAGCATTGGTTTTTCCAGGCAAATGAATTTCATCATAACAAGTTAGATTCTGATCCCAGTCCCTATGAGGTCTGCTCTGGTGACAAAGGCGAGCATCATCTGAAGGTGCCTCGTGCTATCACTTTGGGGCCCACAGTGGCCAGCTCCACGCTGTCCTCCCCAACCCCCCAGACCCTTGCAGGGGTCGTGCACATTTTGCCAGAGAAGCTCCTGAAGTGCTTTACTGTATTACATTTAAAAAGTTTACCCCAAGTCAGCAAATACATGTAGCACCTAGAACTCATCCCTTATCCTAGTTACTCACCAGACAGGTTACATGATGTGCACCAGTTAACATGCCACAGAAAAACTACATTTCTGAAAAAAAGAAACAAAGAAAGCCAGAAGAACACAGCTCTCCTCCTCAGATCTGACAGACTGCAAAACCCCAGAATGCATACACCCACCACCCTCCATGCCCAGCGGTCCCTTGGGCCTTCTCAACCTCATCCAAAGTAGTGGCATCTGCCCCCTGGATGGGGTCTGGGTTCTTGCGACAGCAGCTGCAGCCAAGTAGTGTCTTCTCTCCTGCAGAACTCTGACCTCAAGTCTCTCATGGGTCCCCAAATTCCAGGAAGAATAAAAAAAGAGCAAAGCACAACAATATACTTCCAAATTTTAAAAATACAATTAAGTGACAGTAACAAATATGGCTACACAACGGTTTACAATCTAGGCCCTATTCCTTTATGTGAGAATATCTAATTAAAAGCTGTCTTTCCCAAACTGAACGCACCTAGTAACCGAAATCCAGATTGAGAACAATAGTAAAATCATCTACCAGAATAGTACTGGAGATTCAGTGTTTCACATGGCGAAAACGTAGATAGAAAAACACGGGAGAGAAAACGACAAGCTCTCTCGGTTTCAGCCTCTCCAAGCAATCAGTCCTCCTTACCAGCTGAATGGAGTCCATCAGTGGGTAACCTGGGGTAAAGTGGGGGAAATTCATCATCACAAAGTAAATTCTATAACACTCATGTCCTGGGGTCAAACAAATAGACCCAACCACCCGTGCAAATGGTACCCCCTGCCGTAAGGACGTCTGAAACGCTCCCATCTCATCACAGCATTTACACGTTTCCATCCTGTACTTCTGCTTCAACACTTCTCTAACGCACACCCTCTTCTTTTTTTTGGCCTGACGGCCTAGAGTTTCACTCTAGTGACTGAGCTGGTCCACATTCTGCAAATATTTTCCCATAAGTGATCTTTACGCTTTTACCACATAACAAACTACCGTCTTCCAATCACCAACGTTTAAAACATGTCATCTAACCTAAAGGCTTTGCGCTGTCTTGTCCCCTCATCCCCCAGCCGCCTCCCACCGCCCAGCGTCGATGCACTTGGACGCAGGGCACTACACACGACTCCGCAGCAGGCCAGCTCCCCGCGACCCCTCGCCGACCGAGCCTCACCGGCCCCGTCCTTCAGCCGCACCCGCAGCCGTCGATCTGCCGGTGGAGCTCCACGAGCCTCTGCCCCATCAGCGCCGCCTCCGCCGCCTTCCTCTCCACCTTCTCGCACAGCCTCATCACCCTCTCCTCCGCCCCGGCGCCCACGGCGCTCTCCTGCGACGCCTCCACCTCGCTCTTGAGGGCGTCCAGCAGGCTCTCGATCTCCAGCAGCTTCCGGCGGGCCCGCAGGTGCGCGCGCACGTGCTCGCGCTCGAGGGCGGCGGCGTCCCGGCGGGCGGCGTCGAGCGCGGGGCTCGGGAGCGTCTCCCAGTCCCGCTCGGGCTCCCGGCCGTCGTCCGCGTCCACGGGCCGCATCGCGCCGCCGCCGCCACCGCCCCGCGGCCCGGTCAGCGCGCCCGAGAGGCCGGCCGGCCGCCAGCGAGCGCCGAGCGCAGCGGAAGCGCCACCGTGACGAGCAACAGGTTCCCCCAACTTTTCGCAGCAGAGACGGCGTCCAAAATGGATTCGCAGCCGTCTACCAAAGCTCGGCTTACTTGCGGCTTTTTTACGACACGCCACAGTTCCTTTACGGCCACGCAGCTGGTGGGACCAAAGTTTCGGACGCCCGCCTGCCGCGGCCGTGCGCGCACGCGCACACATCTGCAGGCGCGCGCACCCCGTCCCGGCTCGCGCGGTCCCTCTGCTCCAGCGGCCGGCTCCCTGTGGGCTTAGTGCAGAGGTTCTAAGGCTTCTTGAATTTTAAAGTCGGCTTCTCTGCTGTAGTAAATAAAGTAGCTTACTATCAGCACAGCGCTGACTGCGCAGTGCTCTAAGCTCTTGACCTTCTAAAGCATAAATCACGGAATTACCGTGGTATGTCCGAATCTTTTAGCGCACCGAGAAACGAGGTGGCTTGCCCAGTGTCAGGATTTCAGTCTTGCGCAGTTGAAAACAGATGGTCTCTCGCGTTGAGGCGCTAAAATGGACCCGTGCGGACGTGAAGAGGAGAGGAACAGATTCCTCCTTCAGGACGAACTGAACTCGCTCGATGTGTGAAACGATGTGCGAGTGTTCTCAGGGCCGACGTGCTGATGGGGACAGAGCCCTCGTTCCTGTCGGAGGCATCTCCCACAGTCCTAGGTTTAGTGGCTTGTTTCCGCCGACCCTCACTCTGATAGTACCTTGTACCTGGAGCTTGTTAACGGACTTTCCTTCGCTCCTTTTTCCTTTGCCTATTTGTTAGCCACGACTATGAAAGCTTCCTTCTCCTTTTCAGCAGAGGAAAGAGAAATTCAAGGGCTACTTGAATTTGTGCTTTTCCTGAGCTGCAGTCCCAACAAACCCCAAATAAACTTCTTTTTGTTAAAGTCTGTCAGAATTTACCTCATAATTGGTCGACAGTCTAGGCCAAGGCTGTACCCACCGGCCCATTTAGAGCCAGTTCGAACAGATCCCACCTCTTATCAACACAGTGATTAAGGATTGTCTTTTAGAAAAGCTGCAAAGTCACCTAGCCAGGGCATGCGCAGAAGAAGAAATCGTGGCCCGAAACGACCTCAGAACCAAAGATCCTCCTTCCCCCGCAACCCAAGGACCGGGAGACGACCGGAACTTGAAAGCTGGACTCTTCAGAAGCGAGGGGTCCCTCATTCAGGAAGATCCAGCGTTATAATTCCTTCCCCACCTCATGCAAAATTTTTAGAATGCCATCATTATGTTCAGAACCTCATCATAAATGGTTAACACCTCACCGTAAATGCCTGAAGCCCACCAATCAAAACCTGTCCCACCAGCGTTTCCGGGTGCCAACCTGTTCTCCCTAACCTCATACACTTTGCCCCAAATCCTGAATCAGGGAGACAGAACTGAGGGCATACGCCCCCTGTCTCCCCGCAGGTCCATCTTGCAGAATAAAAGCTGATTTCTCCCCTCCAAGGCTGATGCCATAATTAATTGGCAGAGAACCCCAATTTTGTGCGGTGACAAGGTCATCCTCTTAATCACCACTCACTCTTGCCTCTTGGGCAGTTGCCTTCCCCAAATACTAGTTGAGAACTGGGATGTCCCAGTGCTGATGCTAATGACCCTGTTCTCCTTTTGTCTAAAGGGTAAGTTTCACTCTGCCTTGGATTTTGGTTGTATGTCTGTAGCTCGCTTTACCAGACTGTAGTGTAGGTCTGATTCAGTCATGTTTCCTCAGCCCCACCTAGCGCCGAGTATGTCTTTGGGGAATAATTTTGAAATAATTCATTCTTTACTGGGCTATATTAGCACCTCTATAAGAAAACAGGCCCTGGGGGCAGGTACTTAGTCCTTAGTCCTCTATTTCCCAACAAGCCGCACTGGGCTTGGCATACAGCAAGAGCTCAGTAAGTGTTGCTTTAACATTATTTCCCAACAGGTATTTTTTTAGGCACCCCCTATCTTGTTATTGTGGCTGGATGATGCTTGTTCACACTGTGTACTCTAGCAGGAAATATTGGGGATACCCTCCTTGTTGGTTAGCCAGGGGTCACTTTCAGCTCCTCTGGCTGTTCCTTGTGCATGACCCCCTCCATCTTCAAAGCCAGCAACATATGTCAAATCCTTTTCATCCTTTGACTCTCTTTGACATCTACTTCTCCTAGCCAGAGAAAATTCTCCTTTTAAGGAGTTCACATGATTAGATTAGATGTATCTGAATGATCTCCCTTTTGCAATATAATGTAACATAATCACAGGAATAATACCAAGGAGCCAAGATCATGACGGGCCATCTTTTTGTTGGTGGTGATGGTGAGGAAGATTGTCCCTGGGCTAACATTTGTTGCCAATCTTCCTCTTTTTGCTTGAAGAAGATTATTACTGAGCTAACATCTGTGGCAATCTTCCTCTACTTTGTATGTGGGGCGCTGCCACAGCATGGCTTGATGAGCGGTGCATAAGTCCATGCCTGGGATCTGAACCTGTGAACCCCAGGCCACAGAAGCAGAGTGCACAAACTTCACCATTATGCCACCAGGCCAGCCCTCTGTGGTGGGCCATCTTAACATTCTGCCTACCACAGGCTCCTAGGAATCCTAAGAAAGTGCTCTCACAGCAGCCTGATATGACAAAAGTAGCATTAATTAAGTCCAGAGAGCTAAAGTATCTCAACAAGAATTGTCTGGCTTTTGGTACATGAGTGGAATGGAATAAAATACATAGGAACCCCACAAAATTTTTGAGGCAGCCATATTAGCAAAAATACTGCCAGCCTGGATGAAAAGAGACTGAGACTGTTCAAAATGTAGAAAGACTTCTAGACTCTCAATTTTCAGCAGAAAGCAGGCTCAGTAGCCAAAACTAACATGTTTTTCAATGCCCTCCTCAGAAGTGGCCAAGGAGTGTGGTGGAAAAGGAAGAACATCACAGACAAGCATTGCAGAGAACAACGCACAAGGGCAAGGGTCTGCAAACTACAGCCCTTCAACTAAGAATGGTTTTCACATTATTAAAGAGTTGTAAAAAAAAAGACGAAGAACAGGATTATGTGACAGAGACTGTATGTAGCCCACAAAGCCTAAAATTTTTTTTTCAAATTGCATTTATGTACATTTTTAATTAAATTCTCCCAATACCCTAGTAGTGAGACGGGTATTTCCAGAGACAGTCTGCTGAAACTCTCTGGCCCTTTACAGGAAATCTTTGCTCCCACCCGCACTAGTGAACCACTTCTAGGTTGCAAAATCAAGGCCTAATCAAGAAATATTCCCTATTCTTAAAGTAGAGAGGCCTGGCAATATTCGCCCCACAGAATGTCAAAATTGCTGTAATTCCTTGAACTCATCTTTCCCTTCCAAATGGGCATTATCCTGGCCTGTCTCACTACCGTGTGGCTGTTATGGACTGCATGTTTGTATTTCCCCAAAATTCATATGTTAAAACCCCAACCCCCAATTAGATGATATTTGGAGGTGGGGCGTTCTGGGAGGTAATTAGGTCATGAAGGTGGAGCTCCTATGAGATTAGTGCCCTTAAAAGAAGAGACGCCAGAGAGCCAGCTAGCTCACCACCTCTCCACCATGTGAGGGTACAGGGAGCAGGCAGCCATCTGCAAGCCAGCAGGAGGGCTCTCACCAGACCCCAAATCTGCCAGTACCCCGATCTTGGACTTCCAGCCTCTCGAACTGCAAGAAGTAAAGGTTGTTTTAAGCCACTCAGTCTATGGTATTTGTGCAGTGGCCTGAACTAAGACAGTGGGCAATAACTTGTTTTTGAAAAAGTTCAGAGGCCCCCAGACCATGAAATGCCATATTTAAACCTGATGTGGATCACAAGATCTGGACTTCTGGCCTGATACTATGATTGGAAGAAATCTGGCGGGGATCCTCAGATGAACATGAGGAAATTTTACATGAGTAATTGGGGCCAGTGGGAGCAGATTGCAGTAGATGGTATAAATGACCCCAATTCTCCATCCCTTCCTGTATCCATGTCCTTTGCCATGTATCTAGCTTTGGCCAATGAGATGTTAGCAAACATGACACGAGCACACGCTTGAAGCATGCTGACACCGTGGGCCCTCTTACTCTTGTGTCTCTGCCTTTGCCATTAGAAGAACATGCTGGGTTGTCTCGCTGGTCTGAGGCGGAAAATGAGAGAAACATTAAACCAAGCTGCCCTAGCCATGCCCAGCCTAGATCAGCTGGCCCACAGACACATTATGGAGCCGGTCTAGATCATCCTGCTCGCAGCCAGGCTGCAGACACCTGGGAAGTGTTTATTGGCGTTACTGGGATTTAGGGTGGCTTCTGCATCAAAAGATAAATGATAAACTTAGTGTCAGCCTTTCTAGGTGAAATTAGAGGCCCAGATAAATTAAAATGCCAAACTCCTTTCCTCCGTGTTTTTATTTAGCTCAGTCTCAGATGGAGGAATCTCACCCTGATGCCCAGAGGTTCTCACTCTTTTTCTTTAGAACTTCAGCCTGGAGTATCTTCTTCAGGAAACAGTATTTAGCCCTTTTGCACTTCCAAAGCTGCTTCTGTATCTCATTGTCACCCCATTTTGAAAGCTTCTGATCTCACTTTCACCCCAAACACAAGTTTCTTCTGTGTCCTATTTTTCTGGATGGTGTGGCACCAGACTCACAATTTTTAGAAAACATAAATCAACCACCACTACAGCCACTTTTAAATATCACCACAAGCAAAAATTATGTTCTCAGAACCTTGCACATTTTACAATCAAGATGACATTGCTATTGCCAGCTGTTGACATCAGACTATGAGGAAATGGGAGATGGACAGAGCTAACAGGAGAGAAAGGAAAAAGAAGTCCTTGATTCTAGCTTTTCCCAACGCCATTCAGTTCCTGTTAATTGTTGCGATCCCCAGATCTGAACTTAAAACCCACTTGGAAGAAGTCTTCCACCAAGTGATTAATTACGGCACAGGGAGTGTGGTTTATGTAAGCAACAGTGTAAAGACTTATAAAGGGGCATTTATTTCTATCAGAGTTAATGTAGAGAATTTGGGTAAGTTCCACACAATCAACGCTTAACACTTTTCCCCTGTAATAACCGGTCAAACAACAGACGTGTGAGCAGAGGAACCTTCGAGATGGCCCCAGTCACCCTTTGACTGCAACTTGACGGGAGACCCTGAGCCTGAACTGCCCCGCTAGGCTGCTCCCAAACTCTTGACCCACAGGAAGAGCAAGAAATAAACGGTGGTTGTTTTAAGCCACTAAGTTTTCAAGTGGTTTTTCACACAGCAGTGAAAAACTGGAAGATATACCGGCATCTGGAAATGGGGTGCTGCTGAAACAAAATCTAAAACACGGGAG